CCCCCGCCGTTACAGGACACTGCAAGCTCTGTGTCGAGGTCTTCCAGCGTCTTATTTCCACACTTTTAAGGAAAAACAAAAACACGTCTCTGAATTTCAGTGAGAGCAAAACACTACATTCCCTATTTTACGCAACATAACGTGTAGAGGTCTGTACACAATATAATATGCAAAGGGACAAGGAATGGGTTTATTCCACGCTGAAAAGAGAAGAAAGGAAACACAATGTTTCGGCTGTGGAGCTTTCTTCGTCTTTCTTCTCTTTTCAGCCTGGAATAAACCCATGACTTGTTCCTGTGCAGCCTACACATGCTGACGCAGAGACCCACCTGAACCCCACAATATAATAGCAGGGCCACAGCCGCTGGGCTGAGGGGAGATCTCTCTTTAGCTCGCCAGGCTGGGTCCCTGCTGAGTGACGCCGGAGGCCTGGGTTCGCATCCCCGATGGTGGGGGGCCGACCTGTGAAGGCAGCAGGCGAGGGCGCCCACCTGAACCCCGTAGCATTACAAAACCACAGCGTTTATATTTTCTGCAGCACTCCACGTATTTTGCCCTCTATTCTTGCACACTCAGGTCTGAAGGTGGGCCTAGAGTTCCCTCTCTGGGGCCATAACGAGGGGGTCTGAGGGCAGGTGTGACCGACACCACCTCAGTTCATCGCAAAGGATGTCTCGAAAAGGCAAACGCAGCCTATACTGCCGCGTGCGTCCTGGGGACGCAGGGGACACTCCCTGCACCCCCAAATCTCTTTCCATGACGTCGCTGACGGGAACCGCGACACCCCCCCCCCCGCAGTTCCCCGGTGGTCTCCCCCATCGCCCCACCTTTCACGACGCTGCGCAGCTTCTCCATGTGGTCGTGGGTCTTGTTGTTGTAGACCACCTCGGCCACGGAGAAGATGAGTTTGGGCTGGATCTGGGAGAAGCGGTCCAGGACGCCCTGAGGGGGAAACGGAACCGGGACAGGGAACCGTCAGAACCGCCGGGCGTGTGAAAGAATCTAAATCTAACAGAAACAATCTAAACATTTGGACTGGATCCAGTCGTGGTTCAGACGCCACTATAGATGTAACATTATATTATTTACACAAAGAACAAGTAAGAAAAGCACCGTAACTTAATAACGCGGGTATGTTGTTTTAATGCCGTTACATTGACGTCTCAAAACACGTCACGGTCATTTTTCGCTTTTTCGTGATGTACCGCTTTTCACCGCTGGAGGGCAGTCAAAGCACACAAAACAAGATTCGGCTCTCTGCAAAAAAGCCCTACTGCCTCCTGGTTGTCGAGGAATCTCTCCTTGGCAGGGCTGGGTTTTTAATCACAGTGTGATTAAACCGATAATCCCTTTCGACCGAGGGAAACAAATTAGCTGGAGATTAATCTTAAAATTATGAATCGGATAGATAATCTTCTTATCAAAGATATGAAATATCCTCTTCTGCCTCCTACTTCTTTGGAGGAAACGCAGTTGCAGTTACAGTCCTAATTCATACCTAATTCAGACCTACTGGAGAGCCTTCACACCTTATAGCTGAACAGTGATGACAGAGATGCTGCCCACTCATCTTCATTAAACAAAGAATTGCCAGTGAGGTCTCAATAAAAGCCCAACATTTAACAACCAAGTTTAGGTGTTTTAATTTGCAAAAAGCCAGTAATTTGTTCTTTGCTATACACACCCAGTTTTGTATTTGCCATTTGTGCCTGGGTGCTGGGAGTGTGGTATAAGCTACCCAGTCGTGTTGCCGAAGCCGATATTCCAGAGACGTATGGATCAGGCTGGACGGCTCCATTCGTTTGCACCTGATTTTAAGTTTTTCCCATCTTGACTCACAGCTAGGAGCCCTGCAATTCATGTTTTCACTTGTCGCAGGCGACACTGCCCCCTGCTGGAGCTTCGGCGCTGACTGGAGGAGAGTCACACTCAGCTAGTGACTTGACTCAGACTCGGAACCCAGCCTCCACAAGGGAAAGCATCTTCATCAGCTGAGTCATAAGGGAGAGGCCTCTTTTATCTAGGTTCTTGTTTTGCCAAGACCTTTAAACACCCGAACTAGAGCTACCACATTAAATGCAAAACTGCAATGGTATTTTTTTAACTTGGGGTTAGAAAGATTCAGCATTGATGAGCGCATTTCAAACCTCAATGAAAGTAAAATATACACATTAACTCATAAAACCTCCAATTTACACCACAAAATGGACTAAATTTCCAGGTACATACAGCACCACATTGACATCATTCAGAACGAGATTCAGAGATTCAGGAGGAGGTAACAAGACTTCCGGTGACGTGTTTTGGCCTAATTTCATTGTAAAGAAGCAGGCCTGTGAACACATCTCTTTTAATTCAATATAAATATTGCTCTCGACGTCCAGAGCAAGAGAAAGGTTTTGCCGACAAATACTACTTCTGAACTCTGCATGCACATCACTTTGGGACATTTCTGCAGTGAAACGTCTGCTGCACAACCTGTACTTATTCGCTCGCACATCACATCACATCAGTCATTACTGGGACTAGTGAGCAGGAAGGGCCGCATGGCGTCACGGTTCATGGGAACTCTTGCTCTCGCCCGTGGCAAAGACAGGAGTTTCCGACATCACTGGGGCAAACAGTCCTTTCACAAAGTTCACGATTTTGCGCTTAATTCGGAATTTGCGATGCCGTCAATGAATTTCTTTTTTGTTATCTTCACTTAATAACCAATCGGGACTGCGGTCCATTTCCACAGTCACTCATACAGAACAGAAACACTTCAAAGCTCAACACAGTCACATTCAGTCAGCAGCGGTCTATGCCTCACAGGGGTTACCGCAGAGTCTAGCCCCACCCACACCTAACTTGTCCCACCCCCTGACCCCACAGGAGTGCTGAAATATCACGAAAGCTTTCTTGGGTTGTCCCCAGCTCGGTTTCATAAACAAGTCTGCTTCGTACTTACGTTCACCCCGAAGTCCGGAGACGTGGAGCTCCAGATGGCCCCTATACTCGCGGCGGCCAGCATGGCCTCCACGGCGTGGATCCCGTTGGGCAGGTACCCTGAAACAAGAAGGCACCCCTGAGCGCAGGCACGGGGACAGAGAAGCCCCAGGACCAGCACCAGCGCGCTCCACACTTTTCCCTCACGCACGACGGGGGGCAGTAAAATGGAGGACTTTTCTTTTCTGAAGCACAAAACGATTTCCTGCAAATTCTGGGGCTCGATCCTAGAGACCCCCTGTGCAGGCCAATCCTCCTCGAGTGGACAAAGGCGCCCTCTGGTGGCCCCATAGGGACACTGCATATACTTTGACTCCTGCAGACCCGCCATGCACTGGCTAGAGTTCTTTAACAAAGGTAGATATTTCTGGTTTCCCAAACCTAAAAATAAAGGCAAGGTGAGACCACACACTCCCACACCTCAGGCTTTTGGTATCCAGTCTCAGCTATGGCAGCCTGCATTGCCCTCAAATCCACTCCACTGCAGAACTTCCACTCCTTAATCGTTTTAATGGGTAGTAACCAATATGGCAATTAGCTTGCTGGGCCAATTAAAGCTCTTGCAAAAACAAGAGACCTGGAAAACCCACAAGCTCAGCAGGCCTGCCCTGCAGCAAATCGGTCTCTACTACTGGTTTTATTGTTTTCTGATAATGAGGCGCACTCTTTACAGCTGGCGTGTCAGGAATGACTAAGAGTGAAATGTGGACTAAGTATGACCCAGAGATCATAGTTTTCATTTTGCCTGGCCGGGAGGCAGCAGCAGAAGCTGGGGTTTAGTATGTTTTGCACAGAATGCACCCATTGAATGCCGTGGCCAGTCATCAGGAGCCTAGCATAAAGCCTCTTTATCTCCAGGTTCAAAGTGCTCCTACTGCTTCCTGAAGTGAGCCCATAACATACACCTTGATCTCAAAGAGCGACTGCTAGGCATAGCTTAGCTGACAGCTCTTATTTCAGAACAGTGCTGCTCTTAAACCTGAGCAGGTAGGGAAGGAATAAAACAGCTTATGGAGTTTTAAACTGGAGAATTTAAATCGAGGAATGTTATGTTAAAATTGGATAACACAGTAGTAAGACCTTGTTAAGAATATTATGCGTAATTCTGGCCGCCATGTTATAAAAAAGATATTGCTGCTCTGAAACCACAACAGAGCAGAGCCACCATTCCTCTGCTTAAGAGACTTTCCTATTTGAGAGGCTCAGATAACTGAGTCTCTTCAGTATAGACCATACTATAATACAGTGAAGACTCCGAGGGGACCTCATTGCGATATTCAAAATATGAACCAGACGACACAGGTGAGAACTAAAGGGAAATGCATTTAAAAATAAAGCAAGTCGCATCGTTCTAGTGTGACTGGATTATGTATTTTTTAAAAGAAAATCAACATAAATATTTCAAGAGACATTATTTTTCAGTCTCCCAGACTGTCTCATGTTTGATGTACTGTAGCCCTGCAATACTGATGGGAGTCTTGCCCCGGAGGGGCAGGGAGAAAATGGGTCACGCAGTTCAAGATTCGTACCGGGAGGAGCCTGACCGCGCAGATCAGGAACATGCCCTTTCCAGGCCTCATGAAATAAGATTCATGTTCTGCCCACGGTCCAGCCTGTCAGTAAGTAACACCAAGCCTGTACTGGGCTTTTACAGCTACAGCACTGGACCTGAACAGGAGGGTCTGAGGTTATATACTGTCAAAACATCACCTACTGCTGGTCAGACGAACAATGTCTCTAGTCAAGAACATCCCTTGTAAGATCTATGTCATAAAAACATTTCAAATTAAACTGATCGTGTATGAACCTAAATACAATTGATAAACCAAACCCACTGGACACAGGCTTTGCAGTCAAAAGCAATACCCTGAAATCCCCCCCCAACTTACACATTTCTGTTTCGGTAACTGAACCACTTGAATTTTGCACTGAACTCAAAATACTGCCACCACCTGCATTTTGCTGTCTAAATGCTGGTTAAAATTAGAGCTGCTACCATGTTCCTGTCTCCAAGAATTGTGATGTCATTGGTTATGTCATTTTCTACATCAATGTTATGTCATCTTTTATGTCATTTGTCGTGTGTGAGGAAAACATGCAAGTTAGCATTTCGCTGTACCCAGGTACAGATGACAATAACCTTGAACGCCTGGGTGACGTACCTGGATCAATAAGCTGCTGAAAAACCAAAGGCGCTACAGTACCTGGCCTGAAGAGCCTCCCTTTCATTCGTGACCATGTCTAGATTCTCATCAAGCGGATTTAACTAAAGCCTAAACAGAACGCAAAATTGACACTGCGTGTGTTCTCCTGCATGTGCAGGTTTTTATTTTCCATTCTGCTGTGGAGTGTCCCCGATGGTGTGTGAGCAACTACGCCTCACACCCCCCAGCGCAAACACACCCCTTCCCGCGCTCAGATCCTGCTCCCTGTTCCTGCTTGGCCTGGAGCCCTTTTTCTACTACTGCTGTCAACAGCGAAGCCGCGTGCCCACGTTGGGCGAGACAACCTCAACTCCTGACTTTGATTCGCTTATTTCGCATGGAACAGACTCGCTCCTGCGCCCCTGCTGCGCTCTGGGACTCCCCAGCGCAATAACAAGTGGAGAGTTTCTTGGAGAAACGTAGACGCCTGCAGAAAATGTTCAATGCAGATGAATGGGATGATTAGATATTGTAACGCAACGGGGGCTCAGGCGGGCGCCCTTGCCGCATTAGGTCGGCCCCCCACCGTCGGGGGCTCGAACCCGGGACTCCCGCGTCACTCAGCAGGGACCCAGCCCGGTGAGCCAAAGAGAGATCTCTCTACAGCCCTGTAGCTGTAGTCGTGCTATCACAGGGAAGGGCTGCGACGTCACTGCTCTGGTAAGCCGGCTCTTACACAGTACCTGTCGGCCGTAAGCGTTACAATATATAAGGAACATTCTACCCTGTGGGACGCCTCACCACCAACACGATGCCAGAGTGCCACTGTGAAATACCCAATAAGCACTATTTATTTATAGCCCATAAATAGCCAACAGGCATAGAAGAACTTTAAAACAAAACAACCTCTGTTTCAACCTGGAGGGGTGTTTTCGCCGTGACGGTAACCCCTTCGCTTCGCAGGAAGTGCTATTTTGAGCACAAGCTACTCCCGCAGGACCAGTCCGCACATGTGGGGCCGAAGGAATTCGAGGGAATGGAAGCGCTAGAGGAAAACAGACCGATGTCTTGATTTCCGCGATCCTTATGAGCCCAAGTGATGGAGTGTAGCTGGTTGCGGTCGGCCGACATACAGGCCTTCCAAACTGACCTTCCAAACTGACGAAACTGATGAAAAAGGGACACGAGATTGATTGAAAAATGCCAGACTGGGCAAACCCCCCCCGGCAAATGATGTTTATGTTGACACTCCACATTCATCTTCTAGACAATATGGGGAAGCAATAAAAAAGGCAAACATGTTGCAATCCGGGCATGACTGGACTGTTCATTCTGAAGAAACCTGCTGGGCTGACTGTCAATGCCAGAGTCTGAATACCTGTATTAGGTCCAACACACACTGCAGTCTTATATCATTCTGTAACACCGCACACGCCTTCTACCGAGATCTCCGATGTGTTATGAGAGGCTACAGTACGAGCCTAAAGGTGTCATGTAGTGATCTAGAAGGATGCCGTTTTCCTGCCTTCTGCTAACTACCCAAGCCCATATCGATGGCTGGTTGAGTCATGGGTACCCTGAGTACTTTGCCCTAATTAATGTCAACTGACAAGTCGATCAATAAAAACATAAAAAGGAGGTCAAACAGGAAATGAACAGAGACGCTGGAGGCGTGGGAGGCTCGTTGTGCTCTCCCTGCAGCTGGGAGCCCAGCAGTTGAAAGAACTGGAGCGCAACGGAATGAGCTGCATTTCAGATCCAACCCACAAACCTGAGACCCTGCTGAACAGTGACGTCAGTCAGGAGAGGCACGGGACGGTTAAGTGAATTGCAGTGCATGCACTCTATAAATAACTCCAGATTTGCTGAACAACAAGGACAACACTGCTGCCGCTCAATTCTATTATACTGAACTAAATATGGCTATTGTGCCAATAAAGTGCAAACGTAACAGCAATCTCTAGGCACAAATTTCACTGTGCCATTACCGATGAAACCTCTTCCTTATTGGTGCAGGTTGCAGTTTAGCCTGTTTGGTCCACAATATATCCCTCAGCTACAACAAAGCTGGGCAGTAAAAAGACGTGGAGGGCAGACCGCCTGTCCACGGTGGTTTTATTTGGACGGCATCGGAAACATGCCTGAGGCAGAGCAAGACAAGATCAGTCCCTCGAGTGCAGGAGCAGGAGGGGTTCCTCTCCTGGTCCCTGGGCTCAGTCGACAGTCCGCCCTCACTCCTCTAATGCTCCACACAGGATTCCAGCCAGCACCAGCTGCTATTAATAGGCTCTGATCTCCAACTGCCAACACAAGCAGGCTAATCACAAAAGCAACCAAATCCCTTCAATGGAACAGCCCACGAGGGCCAGTGTGCTTCCCGTTGCTGAATTTATTACCTCATCAATCAAGGCAAGTTACTCATCAGGCTCATCGGGGCAAGTTACTGGGGAGAGTGTGAGCGAGCCTGCGTGTGCAGGGTGGGGGTCACAGCAGCAGACACTGGGGGTTTGGGAAGACTGCCCTGTGTCTCAGAGAGACCCCGAACAGGACACGCAGTGGCCACGCAAGAATCACGGGTGGGAGTCTGAGCAGACGCACTGGGACCACATGAAACGAAGGCACAGGGGCGGGAGTGGGGGATTGTGGGATGCCGGCTCCGCTCAGCGACGCCAGCCCCTCCAAATTCCAGAGAAGTGGGAAACCCCACTGCAGCCCAGCCTGCACTCAAATCAGTCTTTTTTAACCCCTCTGCCAAGCGCTGGGGATTCCAGTCAGTCAATCCAGGGTGCTGCTATTCTGACCAGACTCGGCCAGGAGCCCTCTGGTTCGGTCTGGGGCTTAGCCTGAGCCTGCAGGCATCGTTGGGCATCTTCAGCCCTGCATCCAGAGTGCCCGCCTGACCCCCGACTGACCCTCGGCTGTGTCAGCCTGCATCTCCTCCAGATCTGCCCACAGGCAGCGGCAGGACAGCGCTGATCTGGACTAGGAATGTATCTCAGCTAAAATACTGAATGAAACTGTTATTATGAGCCTGAATCCCCATTTCTTACAGACAACAGTTTCTAAAGAAGTACAACACTTATTGATCCAGTATGCCAATCCAGTACCGCAGGTCCAGCTGCAGAGATTTCCCATTAAGCAAATAAGAAGAAAGGCTTACATGACACCTGGGTGATTTAAGCTTTGACCTCTTCTTGACCAACTCTAAAAACAAGTGCTCCACCTGTGACCGGTCTTCTGTAGCTGTAGTGATATTTTCAAAACCCAGGTCACAGATTACTGCCCAGAATGCTCAGGACATTTCAGGATATTACTAATGCAAACAGTCCTGTTTTCAAGCAGCATCGGTTTCATTTCCATCCGAACAGAACAGCATTACAGAACACAGGATTTCACACTGAAAACTTAGCAATGTTGTACAGTCGTAAGCAGTCAATTAACTTCGACTGACGCAGTTTTAACCCACTAATCAAATTTCTTTTAAACAATGCTATCCTGGCATTATTGGATCTTGTCCTGTATTAACCATTTGTTTAAAGCATTTCAATATCCAGATCCTGAGTCCTCTTGCAGTGATGGCAGAAGTTTGAAATGCTGCTCTTGAGCTCAAATTGTACTTGTCAGAGCTGTCTGATCTTATGTGAGGGGCTTGTGGTAGGAAATAACGTGGTGGGAGCTGTGAGGCAGCGGCGCTGAATGGTCACGCCACTCTGTTTGGTTGAAAAGCAATGCGGACCAACAGATCAGACCTGTTCGGGTAGGTTACGAGATTCAGAGATGGACTGATAGGAACACAAGCCACGCATGAGGCTGTGTCACTGAGGCACTGCAAGTACGTATTTAAAAGCACCAACCAAAAAATGATTTCCTCCTTTCTCTGCCAAGCCATCAAGCTTTAAATGTGACCTAAAAGACCTCAGGCCAGTGATCTGAAAATTGTTTAGCAGAATGCCCTGTACAGATGGCAGGCTTAACATTCTGTTCGTAAAAAGCACTAGGTACAATACCCAATATCCCATTTCTCAGCTATTGTCTTCTGCCATCTGTGCTACAACGCCCAGAACATCAAACTTCACAGGAGATGCTTGCATACGTAGTGGAGTCACAGAACAGGATAAGCAGAAATGAGGCTCATTACCAGTGCAAATATGTGACCTAATTAAGGACACCTAATCAAGATTCAATAGAGGGCACTCGCAAAACAGGATTTTTAATCTACTGGCATCTGTAGTACACGGCGCGGCACACAAGCGAGGCAGAGCTAGGATGGTGATTACCGCAGGCGCCTTGGCCTCAGTGCACCAGGGATTCTCTCATTCCAAAGAGGGCTGGGGAGGGGGGGGGGGCGTTGAGCTCCCGGCCAATCAGGGAGCAGAGAAACCCTCCCAGGACAGAAGCTGCTGAAAGGCAGGCCTGTCGGAGCTGCTGAGGCAGGAACACAAGCGCCCGGGCCACATCACTCTTAACTCCACATTGTCCACTGAGCCCACATCCCGGGAACTCGCTCTGTCCTCCTGATTCCCCCCTCCCACTCAGTACTGTGTAACTGTGATACAGCTCCAGGGGTACAAATGCCAGACGTCCCACAGCTGGCAAGGGCTGAAATCTTCGACCAAGCAGACAACCACAGCAAGTCTGATTCCTCGCACAGCCGCCCTATGCCTTGAAGAATCCGTTACATAAAGGATCACAGGCCGAAAAACACATGAGGACAGAGGAAATACAGTCACGTACAGAGACCATGTCATGTTTAGCCCTCCAGTCTAAATCAAGCAGTCTCTGCAGCCCAGCAGAAATCATGCTTTTCTTCTGTTCTCAGCTGCTGTCTTGGCTCCCACCAGCCTGAGCCATCACAGGGGTGTTGCACCTCCAGATGCCCTAGAACAGAGCTTATTTTCCATTCCTTGCTGGATACTATTATTATACATTGACTTCATTCTAATTGGATAGTGAGCAAAACTCCCACCCGCTGCCGGACGTCTGACTGTGTTGGTGGTGGTGATGGATCCCTGGATGCAGAGGAACCGGTGCTTCTCTATCCTTAGACTTCAGAGCCCCTAACATCAGACCATTTCAAAGCCACGGGCAACGCTCGGAGCAGGAGTGTGCAATCCTGCGTCAGGATTCTGACGGGACGTCCACAGGGGGCGAGGGTGGGCACCAACATATCCTCTACGCTGGCTCTAAGCACTGGAGCCCCCCAAGGATGTGTACTTAGCCCTGTCCTCTACTCCTTATTTGCACATGATTGTGTCACCAGGCATCACTCAAACTCCATCATTAAGTTCGCGGATGATACAACAGTCATCGGCCTGATCACAGATGGCGAGGAGCCTGTGTACAGGGAGGAGGATGAAACCCTGGCAGCATGGTGCCAGGAGAACAACCTCTCTCTGAACATTAGTAGGACTAAGGAGATGATTGTGGATTATAGGAAACATCAGGGAGGAGATCACACACCTATCCACATCAACGGGACTGCAGTGGAGAGGGCCAGCAGTTTTAAGTTCCTGGGAGTTAACATCACAGAGGACTTAACCTGGACCCACCACACCAACACCATGGTCAAAACAGCACGGCAGCGCCTGTTCTTTCTCCGCAGGCTAAAGAAGTTCAGCATGCCGTCACATATCCAGGCCAGCTTCTGCAGGTGCACTATTGAGAGCATCCTGACTGGCTGCATCACTGCCTGGTGTGGGAGCTGCTCCGCCCGGGATCGCAAAGTCCCGCAGAGGGTGGTGCAGTCAGCGCAGTTCATTAGCACATCCACGTCCTGAACTGTTTTCTCTCCTACCGTCCGGTAAACGCTATCGAAGCATTCAGTCAAAGGCCAATAAATTACACAACAGCTTCTTCCTCCAGGAATAAGACTGCTAAACAGTCACGCTGCAGTCACCTTCAGCAACCATGCTAATGGTCCCTGTTAAGTGGTGAGGTTACATGGACATACAATGAAAACTGTGTTTGGCACACTGCATATTGCAATATTTGGACATCACGTATTGCATTCACCCTTGATATGTAGCAGTTCTATTTATATTGAGTTTTTTTCTTCAATTTTTAATTGCACTATTATTATGTAACCTTATTCTGTAACTTTTAATTCTGTGATATTTATTTTTATTCCCACCCGCCCCCACCCCCCCGGTGAGCTTGCTGAGCGACATTTCATTGCCAGAAATTACTGCTGCACGCTGTACTGTACTCATTTGCCAAACTGCTTTATACCCATCCATTGCTGGGCAAGTGCAAGCCAATCTGTATTGTTGTGCATTTGATAAATAAACTTTGATTGATTGATTGACTGATTGGTTGATTGATTGGTTGATTGATTGATTGGAGGGCCAGTGAAAGCCTGCAGACTCAGTGCCCTTCCTTAGGAACAGGACTGGGGATCCCTGGCTCTGAGACAGGAACTGGATTGTGACATCAGGAAAAGTCGAGCCGCACCGCTGTCTGGTCAGAGCATCAGAGTGGACTGCCGAGCCTCCCACATTCACTCACTCCCAGCGCCCTGAGCACAACCACCCCCCCCCTCCTGCCTCTCAGACAAGAGACACACAAGCACAGCGCCCCACCCTCCTCTGCCTTTCCGACGCGGCCCCAGCACGCAAGAGTCCCAGACCTGCAAGCCCACTGAGGTTCGCAAATGTCAAGAGTTTCTGAGACAGAAAAACGATCCTTTGTACTGCCTCTGTACTCCGGCGGCATAAAGCGCCCACTGTCTCTTCACATGCCTCCAGTCCTGCATCGCAGACTGCGACTCCAGTGAGCTTCCTCCACTGCAGCGCTCTTAAAAACAATGGATACATATAAAAGCCTGGGAACTCATCCTGAAGAGCTGTTGCCGTCATGGAAAAACAGACAGGGAAACGAGGAAGAAGACAAAACTTGAGAGCACAGGAACTAAAGTAACAACCAACGAAAGTGATCTGCAAGCCTGGGAGTGGGTTTTGGGATTTGGTTTGGCTCCGTGAAGGCCGTCCGACGAGTATGGGATTTGGGGATTCTGGGAGGAGGCTCACCCACAACACGGTCCCCCGCCAGGATGCCCATCTTCCTCATGGCGGCGGCGTACAGCGCCACATCTCGCCGCAGCTCCCCGAACGTCACCTTGGTGATCTCCTCCCGGGCCTCCGCTGCAAGAGACACACAGGGTCTCAACCGGACAGGAAACCCAGCAGGCGGAGAGGCGGCCAGACATCGGATGGACAGACAGACTACAGACTGACTCGCTGAAGCAGGGACAGACAGACATTGAGGCACAGACTGACAGTGGAACTGATGGACAGATGGACAGACAGGCTGACAGGCGCACAATCTGATGGACATCACATCCCATCGGATGGACAGACAGACTACAGACTGACTCACTGAAGCAGAGACGGACATTGATGCACAGACTGACAGAGGAACTGATGGACAGACATGGACAGACAGGCTGACTGACCAAGGCATAGATGGACGGACTAGACTGGTGGACTGATGGACAAACAGACAGACTGGCGGACAGCAGCGACACTAGTGTGAGAAATGGCACTTTCTCCAGGAGCTCAAAATCCACAACTTGCTGCCTTGCAGAGGGGTGTGTTTTTAAAGGGGAACTGCATCACTGTTTTTATATTTTGGAGTTAGAAAGAATCATTCAATGAGTTTAATGATTAAATGAGTGCATTTCAAGCCACAAAAAAAGTAAAATGTACACAGTAACTTGTAAATCCTCCAATTTACATCACAAAATAGGATACATTTCCAGGTATGAGCAGCGCCGTGTTTGCGATTCAGAGCATGGCAAAAAAAACTTCCGGTGAGGTGAAGCGGCCCCATTACATTGTAAACAAGCAGGCTGGTGAACACAGCTCTTTTAATCAAAAAGAAATATTGCTGCAGAACCTGTATTTATTCACTCGTACGTCGTAGTGAGCAGGAAGGGCTGCATGGGAACTCGAATGCAAGATTGCGATAACATAGCGTCTTACAGTACTTTCAGGAGTTTGCGCTTGATTTGAAACACGTACATTTTTTCTATACCGTCAAGGAATTTATTTTGTTACCGGGATTTCATAAACAGTCTGAGAAATTGGTACTGCAGCTCCCCTGCAAAGTGTAATAACTGACACTCCCATCTGCTTTCCACAGACCTGAACTCATCACATGTCTGGCATGGAGATGTCTTCCCTAGAATGACATTTGTTTAAACTCAATATCCAATTAGAGTAGCAGAGAAAAAAATACCTGCAGCAGAAGATAATGCAGAACAAGGTTACAGACAACTGTGCTGATGCCTTCTGACATTCAAGGCTAAATCAGATTTTGTCTAGCTCCAGGAACCTATGTTTCATTTAATTTGGAGCTCCAGGCACATTATATTACGTAGTCTAGATCTGGAAAGATACGTCCACAGCGCCGAGCTTTCACCCTATTTAAGGTGAAGAGCCACATTAACTATTTATTAAAATGAATTTAATTACATTTTGTTGTAATCATTGCTAATTATAGCAAAGCTTTACTTAAAAGCCCCAAATCTGGGAAATATTGTTTAACATCCACATACATAGGAAGAAAACAAATTATTTTGACACGTATAATTTTTCTCAGGTCTGAAAAAAAGGCTAAATAATACACATTTTATTCTGAAAATACACTACAGAGACAGAGGGATTTGCTTTATGTCATGCTATTCTGTTTCTTTTAGGTTGGTTTGTTGCAAATATCCCATTAACATTTTTAGAACAACTGAGAATGGCAGGTGTATTAAAAAAGAACTAACAAAATAGCATTTAAACAAACAACAGTGATGTCACTGTGTGGAGCCTGAGGTGTGTCCATATTGCCACGTATGTCATGTAGGCTGTGGGGCACAGAGGGTGGGGATTCACTCAGGAAACACTGTGTGAATTCCACACAGGCAAACCAGACAGGTCTGTAACATAATAATTCCATTAGGACAGACACTGGATACTGGACTGGAGATTCTCCAGGCTATCGCTAGAGAACAAGTCTAACAGGTAAGAGAAGATACTTATCGCTTGTTAATGGCAAGCATGGATTTAAGCCTGGCTTTGACTAAGATTTTTGGAAAAGCGCATATCATTTCTTCCCTTACTTCAGCCTCCACGGTCAAAGGCAATACTATAGTGTGTTTCCATAAAAATCTGTTTGTTTTTTTCCCCCAAGACACAGCATAGCAATTTGATTTCCTGCTGCTGGGTCTGCCAGTCTGCATTTCGTATAGCTCGGGGAAGCTCGCTCTCTGCGGAACAGGAAGGAAGTGTTTCAGTGGGGACGGTTTTCGGAGGCGCGCTTACTTGCAGCATACAGAGCCACTTTGTCCTTGTCCTTGTGCTTCAAGAGGTTCTCAGCGTAGTTGAGCCGAGAGCCTCTGAACCACTCGGGAACATCAGAGATGCCCTTTGTCACGTCAACCACCTGCATAGACGACAAGCAGAGCCAACAGAAGATGGTTATATAAAACTACACATATGAAACACATATAAAGCACTTCTGACCTTACAAAAGACTGGGAAACATTATCCAAAACTTCACAGAGGATGTATTAGGTGTTAAAATACAGTTTCCTAAACATTCATGTATTTTCTCCATTCCCATATTTAAAATATTAGCTTTGGGAACCTAACACCGTTATTTAAAAGCTGCTCTTCAGGCACAGAGCCATTCATTGTAGGAATACACTTGTAGCTGAGAGAAATAGGTCTCACTTCTAAAAACATCGGACATTTTTGCAAACGAGAAGAATCATCTTTCTCGCTTGGTAATTGAGCAGCTAATTAAATCCACTGTAACACTGGCACCTTCTCTAGCCTTTAATCTCCATCTACCCAAATTAACAAGATGTGTGTTTCAAATTGCCTTCACTGCCATAAAAAACTCCCGATGAATTATCAGAATTACGCAAATCTACAATACGACCATTTCACAATGTTAAAAATGACGGACAGACAGTAGCTCAGTCCATGTGATGTTCCTGGATTTTTTAAATAACAAATCCTGTCTACTGGGACAGCCAGTGACATGAAGGCAGTCACTGGATCTCAGGGTCTCGCTGTAATATGCCCACAGGCCCTGCAGCCTGTGGGAATGTAATTTTTAGGGAAAGGGAAACATTATTGTATGGGTGAAAAGGGGTATTTTTAGGATGAGTTTTTGTTTCAGGTCTGCATCAGAACTAACGGATCATTTTGAATCCGAATAAACTTCCCAGTTTTTCCTCCCACTTCAGCAGGAGGTGTACTCACTTCCTCGTAAGTCTGCGAGCCGACGATCCCACAGAACTTCCACACCTCCGCCCAAAACTCCGGATAGCTCTGCACCGACCACTGGTACAGGTCACTGTAGTTAGCTGGGGGAAAGACATTTCTCTTGAGAGGTATACCACGGTGAAAGACGAAAAATGCTGTGATGATGATCATAATAATAATAATAATAATAATAATAATAATAATAATTATATAATAACAATACTTATATAGCTCTTTTCTGGACACTCCACTCAAAGCGCTTTACAGGTAATGGGGATCCCCTCCACCACCACCAGTGTGCAGCCCCACCTGGATGATGCACCAGTACACTCCCCACACACCAGCTATCAGTGGGGAGGAGAGCAGAGTGATGGAGCCAGTTCAGAGATGGGGATTATTAGGAGGCCATGATTGGTAAAGGCCAGGGGGTAATTTGGCCAGGACACTGGGGTAACACCCCTACTCTTTTCGAGAAACCCTGGGATTTCTAATGACCACAGAGAGTCAGGACCTTGGTTTTACGTCTCATCCGAAGATACATTTTTAGGTAGGTGTACTTGCACTAAAAAAGGAGTAAAACTAGAAGTGATGTAGAGCACAGATGCACTAGGCAATTACAGTACTCATGATTCGACTGCTGCTGTAATCTACTACGACTACCAAGATGGAGTGCCAGTTTGGTGTGCATATTGTGCATACTGCTTAAAAGCTGAAGGAAGCCTGTGCTTTCAGCCAAAACACAACCTGCTGTACACGTGTCTATGTAAATACGTGCACACCGGGCCAAGGTTCTGCTTTGAGTCCGATTCCAGTCTTCTCCATCCCCGCTGCGATCTGAGCCGCAGAGGGGCACTCGATTGCGTAAGAGGCCCAGACTGTGCCACTCACGTACGACCTCATCGGAGGCCGGAATCTGCTTCAGATTACCAGCCTGAAGTCGAGTGTTTCGTTTCACACAAACAAGAAAGACATAAAGGCCGCGGAGCTGAAAAAAAAAAGCACATGCCACCGAGAGGAACCGTGTGCATTGGATCCACGCGTGTCGCTCAATCGGAGGGTGCAAACTCCTGACAGCTGAGGTGCTTGTACACCGCGGAGCTGAACGGATTTGGGTTCTGTGCTTTAAAAACGCAGAGGCCTTTAAACATCCGTGCGTCACCCCTAAGGGCTCAGTGACAGTGCAACAGTGCTCCACAGGTGAGGACACAGGCTGCGTGACATCACCTGCGTCCCGAAACAACGCCTCTGTGTCCGCACTCACCCAGACTGAGCCCGAAGTCCCGGTTCACCTGAGCCCTGAACCTGTCCATCTGCGTGTTTTTCTTGGAGTCCGGGTACCACAGCACCTTGGACTCCATGATCTCCTCGCTCACTCCCTCCGTGTCCTTGGACATAGCTGGAAAGCGCCTCAAGTCACTCCGGCAGACCCCGGACAGCCCCCGGTTTCATCGGGACTGAGGCTGCACTTCCTTGACAGCTTTGCAGTAAAACTGCTGTTGACAGTCCCTCCCACCGAGAGCTCCGCCCTCCGCGCCCAGCGCGTATCCTTACCCACCGCGAAATAGACCCAGCGTGCTCCGTGCTGTCTTAACTCTTCTGTAACGTCTTAGAGGATAACGAGTACATCTTTATTTAATGCGCGTTAGGCTTAGTATGACAAAACACCGAAGTGTTAGAAGGCGTTAATGAGGTATCAACAGCAGTTTTACAACCTCGTATTATGCTCACTGAGACTCCTAGACTGGCGCCCAATGATGTGATGTCTTAGAGACATTTTAGAGGGTCACCAGATCCATCAAAAACGAGTTACCCCAAGGACCTCTCTCAAACCTGGGAATAGTATTACATATTAGTATTATATTATAACAGATTAATTTGCCTGAGGGACCTGTGGTCTGGCAGTACAGTAATGAAGTGAACCTTCCCATCTTACATACACAGCAGATAGAGACACAGCAGAACGCTGGGTTAATCTATGCTGACTCTTGTGTGGTTAACAAAGCATGCATCTTGTCAGTAACCTCAGTTTGTTCCTGCAGTGCTGCACAGTGTCTCTAACATTGTACGCTGTAGCAGAAACCAGTTGAAAACTATACACAGTCTAAACAGAAATATAGATAAAGAAGTCAGAAAGGCGCTGCATCTGCTGTAGGAGTTTCCGTTATCTGACACTTAAGGATTGCCTAATACTCTGGCGGATGAGATGTCCACCGCTGTCAGCACTTGTGAAGAATGACCACAGCTTTTCCTTTCAACCTTCCTCTGTTGGAACATAAAAAATAATTCCTTACACTTCTATAGCTCTTTTCTGGACACTCCACTCAAAGCGCTGTACAGGTAATGGGGATCCCCTCCACCAGCACCAGTGTGCAGCCCCACCTGGATGATGCACCAGTCTGCTCCCCACACACCAGCTCTCAGTGGGGAGGAGAGCAGAGTGATGAAGCCAGTTCAATGATGGAGATTATTAGGAGGCCATGATTGGTAAAGGCCAGGGGGAAATTTGTCCAGGACTCCAAGGTTACACCCCTACTCTTTTCGAGAAACGCCCTGCGATTTTTAATGACCACAGAGAGTCAGGACCTCGGTTTTACATCTCATCTGAAGTAAGCCGTCTTTTTACAGTATAGTGTCCCTGTCACTATACTGGGGTATTAGGACTCACACAGACCGCAGGGTGAGCGCCCCCTACAGGTCCCACTAACACTTCTTCCAGCTGCAGCCTTATCTTTCCCAGGAGGTCTCCCCTCCAGGTACTGACCAGGCTCACACCTGCTGACCTCCAGTGGGACTGCCAGCTGGGATTTGGAAGGTGATGTAGCTGCTGGCTGTGATTGACTGGAGCTGATTGGAGTGCAATTGATTGGACTTTGCTATTGCTCTGAATTATACATCAGTAATGAGCAGTATTGAGGTGAATTTGACATGAGAATAACTGGAATTACTGTGAATGGGACATGTCAGTAAGTGAATTATTTAAAGCAATAATAAAGAAAACAGTGTACTCCCAGCGTTGAAGTTTCTGTGTGGACAGAAAGTACAACTCTCTTCTTTACTGAACATTTAATCTTTGCACTGTGCGAAAGCTATCTTACAAACTTTTTAATAGACTGCAATAGCACAGTAATGCTACTGCACCACTTCAATGTATGTGTTGATCGGGTTTTTACCTTGTGTAATGCATTGTTCTAGTGAACAGGATCTCAAAACTAGCTGTGCCTTTAAAAACTTCAGCGCTGTGCAAGCTTGCTGTTTGCGTGGTCCTCGCCTGTACCACGGCGGAGTGATACTGCCTGGCAGCACGCCACACTCGGGCAGACCTCTGATTGGTGCGGCGTGATGATGGTTCCACATCAGCCGAGGAACGCATAGCCCGCGGGCGTGACGGACCGTCGAGACCGAAAGCCAAACCGGCCAATCAGAGCCCACTTGCCCACCAGCGCCCAGTCACTGCAAGGAGCGGAAAGGGGCGTGACCAATCAGAAGGCGAGAGGCTGACAGCCTTTAAAGAGGTGTGCCCAATCACAGTACAGATGCCACGGAGGACGTGGGTGCTTTTTTGTGTTCAATTTGTGGTGAATATTATATTACACCACGCGAGGTTTGATCAATTTAATGAGTTTTACTGGTTCAGCTAAATCGGGAATGTTTCACATTCAAAGAGCTTCGTTGCCCTAACAGGTTAATTACAGTGTTGCCAAAGTAGAAACACGCAATATTTACATTTACAGTAAAAAAAAAACATTACTGGACATTTACAGACGTCGCATAAAACATAATTGTTAGACAGGCTCACTGTCTGCTCTGCAGGATGTGAAAGGAGATCACAGACTGGTCTGCAGCTCTGTTGAGTTTCCTTCCCTAAAAGGAGCGGACGTTGTTCCGATTCAGGCAGGTGTGGGAATTTTGGGCTTAAACTAATTATTTTAGGGACAAATGTTTGTCTAATCCCAAAGTATTTCTCAAAGTGCAGAAGAAAGTGCATTTCAGTCTCAGTTTCTCCCTGCTGGCAGTGGGAGCACAGCCTGTCCTCTCTGGGCAGCCAGGTCTGCCTGTGTTGCCCAGTTTCTTTAGCCAGGCTGTGGTCACTGAGCCTGTACTTTGTCGGAGTCTGTTTCTCCTTGCTGTCTCTTACCCTGGTCAGCTATTCAGATAGTGTGTATTGTCTGTTTAGGGTCCTGTAGTGTTCCAGTTTGTGTTGTATTTGTGTGTGCATGGCCCAGTTGATAAGGTAGTGTTGTTTGGCTTGTGATGTGGTTGACTTTGATTGGTGTTGTTTTAGTTCTGCTGTCCTGAGGCTGATTGGTGTCAGTGAGCCTCAGGACCAGCTGGCTGAGGGGCCCTCCCATGTCTCAGCTCTGAGCTCAGCAGGGCCTTATAGTGGTAGGAGTTCTGGTCATTTTTGTTAGCTGTAACCAATATTTTATTGCTCTCTTTTGTATATTAGTAGTGGGCTGATAAAAAAAAATAATGCACAATGTTCAACTGTGGTCATTGATACATTCATTTAAAATAATTTCTAAACTACTTAATTGAACAAATAATCTGCTTAAATGAAAAAAGTTCCAAGTGTGTAGAATTAATGATTTAAGGGTGACTCTGAAATGTGCTGAATTGTGCCCGCACAGGATACATGCATATACACAGGTTTAAAATAATTCAATAACTGACCCAGATGGTATAAATGTGCAAACACTAAACAAATAGTAAAAAGTAAAGTCAATGTGATAGTTTGTTAAAATGCTACACAATAATTTATGGAGTCATTATGAGCACTGTTCAAGCTCATTAAGAAATCATATCTCAAAGTGCGTCCTTCGTAATACGACTGTTATCCATTCATCTGTTCCAATATGTACTAATTTCTATAGCAAACGGTGGTGTCAAGTGACAACAGTGACGTTCTTCCTATACATCTGATCAACAACCCTACACATTTTCAAACCACATACCAAATGCCTGGTGTTAAGGAACCCTCCTTTTTTTCAATTTTCACTGGTTAATGAACTGATTGTGCTGCACTTCCATTTTCTTGAAGACGATCATACTGTCAATTTCAGATATTAAACAAAAGGTTAAAAAATGCCGATAAGGTCTCTGAAGTCCCATCTGAGCCAAATCAAAGTCTGATGCTCTGATGAAGAAATCCTCTCCTGCATGCAGCCAGCATTCTGAGGTAACATTGTGAAAGCTCCCTCAGCTGACCATGAATTAATCAGTGCCAATATTAACCTCAGAGAGTCACCACAGATGTCTCCCAGAGAATTCGTCATGATGTAATTGTGTTCTAAACTGAGTGGGTTGGACCACATATCTCTTGTTTTATAGGCTATCAGGATGTCTCCTTGAAAGAACAAATGTCCCTTTTGTCTTATAACTACTGTGCAAAGGTTTAGCGCTGATTTAATTCAGATATAGACAGGTCGAGCTGTCATGCACTTCACATTTATTATGAGCAATATATGTTCTCAGTGGTAAATCTGAAAATAATCAAATTGTTGAGAGGTTCAGGTAGTGTAGGTTTGGGTTAAAATGAAGACATTGTGCAGACACCCAGAAACTTTCTTCAACACTCAGGGTACAGCTGGAACCTATGAGAATTTTCATCCTGTACTTCTGGTGCTATAGATTTTGTCTGTCACGCACAATTGCTGTTTTTTTATGTCTCAAGACATTGTTTAGCAAAGTGCACCGTACTGGCTACCTAGAACAGAAGAAAGGACACAAACCATAGGCGGACAGTCACACTGGCCTGGTTGCCAGTAGCTATGATTAAAAGATCTCATCCAGCTGTGTCTGGAAAGAAGCCAGGGTATCAGCTTCAGCAGCATGACTGGGCAGCTCGTTCCAGACTCCCACTCCCCTCTGTGTACAGTAGAGCCTCCTGTCCTAACTGGAGGTCCTCACTCTGCTCTGTCTTGAAAGAAGCCAGGGTATCAGCTTCAGCAACATGAATGGGCAGCTCGTTCCAGACTCCCACTCCCCTATGTGTACAGTAGAGCCTCCTGTCCTGACTTGAGGTCCTCACTCTGCTCTGTCTTGAAAGAAGCCAGGGTAACAGCTTCAGCAACATGACTGGGCACCTCGTTCCAGACTCCCACTCCCCTCTGTGTACAGTAGAGCCTCCTGTCCTGACTGGAGGTCCTCACTCTGCTCTGTCTTGAAAGAAGCCAGGGTATCAGCTGCAACAATATGGCTGGGCAGCTCCTTTCAGACTCCCATCAAGCCTTTGTACAGCACCATGGCACAGGAAAGCAGGTCTAAAAAGAGTCTGCTTTTGGCACGACCAAGAGGGTTACCAAACCGAAGCTGTAGGTAAAACTGACAGGTGTCTCTGCCATGAAGCGGAAACCAATTGGAGCGAGTCTGCATGATAAATATTTAACTTGAGGCTCACAGAGCCTGGGTCTAGACCACTATGAGGTGGCTATGTGCAGCCAGTCTGCACACTGCCAGCATTACGAAACAGCAAGCTCTGCATGTTCATTGGCTGGGTCTCATTGACCCATTCTCACTCTCTTCACCTAAGTAATTCATTAGTGCCCCAGTGTGAGTAACAAACCAGGCTCTTATCCTTGCTTAACCTTGTGATTCAATTACATAAATATAGCACAGATAACCACAGGTCCTTTTTTTTTGGTCACTGATTCTTTGGACGCTAAAAGCTCTTCTTTCTTTTGAGCTGAAAGAGGCAGGGTGCTGCTTTTTTTTGTAGTTTATGCAATTTAGCACTAAATTATTAACAGAACTGGAGAAAGAACAAGATTATTACCACTAACAGCTTTTGCAAGGAAAGGCGAAGTACAAGTATTAATGATAAAATCTTAAAGTCCTTTTTATTCATCAATTTCAGCTGCTCAGGTTTCATTGTAAAATGGCACCTAGAAGAAATGTCTCACAACGCAAAACTCATAACACGCTACAAATTGACAGCAGGCTTCATGTACACGTCATAAAATCACAAAAGTACTGAAAAATATATAATACAAAAAATCATAACACAGTATTACCATAAAAATAAATGTACAATTATTATTGGCTAGAACATCTCTTCAGAAACGTGTTCACATCAATATTTCACTGCTGCATATGATTGCATATGAACCCATTCGTGTGGGCAGTGGTGTGTGTATTGTAGATCCTGGAAAGAAGAACAAATCTACATCAGAGAATGCTGCCTGCAATTTGTGTTCCCATCATTGTGCTGCCTACCACACATCTGAGCTGCACTTACAAAGACACTGCATCTGCATGTGGGCACATCTGGTATTTTAACCATTGCATTGCAAAGACACTACATTAAATACCAAAAAACACACATCAGCCTATGTACAGTAAAACAAGTCCAGTGCAGAAGGGAAAAAACAAAAACAGGAGTCTTTAGTGTAACAGATAAAGGTAAATGTTTCGTGTTTTTTTTCCTTTGACTCCAGTTCTTTAACCGATGCTAAGCCGTAATTATAAATATACAAAGATGTACTGTGTGTAATAAAAAAACGCTTTACTGTATTAAAAAATACAAACAGAAGCAGAGTTAACCTCTCAAGAACAGCTATCTTTTCTTTTTTTAAAAAAACCTTCAGCTGTGCCCCTCTCTTTTCCATCCCCCTTGAATAGGAGAAGACAGTAGTTCAGTTAAATGGCTGGTGTGCTGATAATGCCAAGAGGCGTATAAGAGAAAAACACACACACACACACACACACACACACACACACACGACGGGCGTAACACTGCACAGTGAAGACAGGGTCTCTGTGGACGGGATTGCGTAGGAGGAAAACCTCTGACTCTTCCATGTGACGGTGCAGCCGTGCAGCCAGTGGAGAAGCAGATAAAACCCCAAGATGTGCAACAGCTGCATGTGGGATTGCTCTGAGAAGGAAAAGCCTACGACTGGCCAGGTCTCCGAGACGGGGAGTCCTCTCCTCCAGTGACCATGTGGACGGACTTTGTGACCCCCTGCCCACCCGCCCCCTGCGGGTCGCTCAGGGGAGCCGAGCACATTGAAGCTGGCCCCTTTGTTAAGGGGACAGGGAGCCATATCTAACACCCAGAATGCACCCACCTCCTGGCCTGCACTGCTACTGACGTCTGTGGCCAGCTTGCAGGACTGTACTGTGTTCATGGTCACTGTTTAACATTCCTTTTTATTAAAACAAAAGCAGCTGTAGAGGAAAAGAGTGTTGGTCCCATTCCTAGCTGCTTAAAAGACTCTTAGCACATTAATGATGAAAAAGGAATATGCGAGTGGCTGTTTACACACATTACAATCTGCACAAACCACTCAGTTTTAGATTCTATCATTCGCCTCGTAATCAAAAATGACTGCAAAGTGACGGTGAAGTTCAGCAGTTTTATCTCCAAGCTTCAAATTCTGTCTCTGTGCACAGTATGCAATTCGGCAGAAGGCTTTTACTTCCTTGTCTATTCTGAGCAGCATTTGACTCTTAAGTGCTATTTTTCCTCCCAGATTTTCTCAAGTTTTTTTAAAGCAGTAAATTAGTTGAGCGCACACTGGGGCACAGCCTCGGGGTTCAAGATGTTTCATGAGTTGAAAAATGAAACTATGCATCAGGCAGACACACTGCACATTGGCCACAAAACATTTAACATATGACGTTGATGGACATGAGATGCATGCGGTGTGTAAATATCATCTTAAATGAGCGTATGATCGTCCAATTCGCAGTCACACTCTTTTACAAAAATTAGAGAATCAGCAGGAAAGGTTATAGCCACACCGAAATACAACTGGACCAAAGCTCTTTTCTTAACCTTCCAGTTAATTCCTGAACCATTCAACCAAATCAGGATTTCAGACACTATATATTTTCCATTTCTTCTAAGATGTCAATTTGCTTCTGTTACGGGATGACACTAGTGACCTGTGCAACATTTTACAATTTTCTAAAGAAGCTCCTCAACAACTCCTGGTAACCTGTGAACATAATAGCTTATATTGGATTCAAGAGCTGTCTGCACAAAATTAACTCTACCAACCACATAGGAAAAGACATTTTCCTGAAATGTACAATACTGTAGATGCATGCTGTCCATTCTCCATTTATAACACTACACGTAAAAAAACCCCCAACAAAACCGTATATAGATCCAGGCCTGAACTAAATCAAAACTTCAATCCAGCACCAGCTGGCCATTACAAACCCAACACTTCCAGGGTCTGCACAGTGAGAACGCTCCACCGGGCAGTGGGTTTGGATCTTGGAACTGAGAAGTGGACTAAAGTTCTGATTTACTCCTCGTCCAGGCCTCCTCAGGGGCTGATGCAGTATGGTGGAAGACAATGTCCTTTTTCTGACATGGTTACAAGCCCCCAGGAGCTATTGCTTGCAACAGCAGTTGCCATTAAGAGGTGTAATATGCAAAGGGCTTTAGTGACTCTGCTATGTTTTTCTCCCTGAGATCAACAGAAGTCTTCCAGCACAGCGACCAGACCCCCCCTCCCCCCTCCCTCCCTCCCTAGGCCCAGCCACGCTTTCCATTCAGCAGCTAACAAACCCTCTACTGGTCCGCGATATAGAAAAAATCCTGATATTGAAAGAGATATTCTGTATTGCTACAATGGAATGGTGACAGTTCCATCCAGACTGTTTGGCGTTTTTTCTCAATATTGGTCAACAAAAGTAGACAGACTACGAGTGTCCTAAATCCAGTGTTCGAGCACGGGGAAGCGTGCGCTATCCGCATGGAGCATCGAAGGAGTTTGCGTCTCCAGCGGCAGCAGACTGGGTCTCGGCCTCGACGCCCCACGAGATTCCCTCTGGGAAGCCTGCTCCTGCTCCCAGGCCTGAGCTGAAAGGCCGGCGCTCCGCGGGCAAGCAGGAAAGCTGTCGAGCCCGTTCCACTCGGCTAAAACAGCGCCAGCACTTCTGCGTTGGCGCGTGGAACCGGCGAGCGCACAAAGAAATCAGGGCTACCCCTTCAAAGAAGAGAAACCAGGTTCCTACTTGTTTTCCACCAGAGCCCAATCCAGTAGTTAAAAAAAAGCTGTTTTTTAAGGATGGGCAGTAAAGTTCCACCATTTGGAAACCCCTTTCTCCCCTGATTGTGTTATTTAAAATGCATGTGACAAGACCACATAACGTTTCAACTGTGACCCCCCTTCACCTGAGGGTACTTAGCTGCTCCTACAGAAACACATCCAGTGCTTGAACAGTGGTCTGACCGGTATCTTCTCAGTCCCAAGAAAGGAGCCCGGCCTGCTGTGTTTGAGCAGCAGCTGAGTCCCTGTGCGCTCAGAGACACAGCATGGCTCTCCTGGCTCCCATCTTAAATACAGGAACCAGCACAGACAAGCTGCTCACATGTCACCTACCCAATATGTAAGAGGTGAAGTCAAAATGGCACCAGTGGCTGATTGAGAGCTCAGCAGTGTTTTATTTTTTGCAGCCCAAAGGGCAATTGGTGAGTAAAAAGACTGCCAATGAATTACAGTGAGAAAAGGGTAGGTTGTGATGCTCATAAGTTCAACTGACCCTAACTGAGGTCTCTCTTGCAAAGAGAGAAAGCAATTCCCTGGTTTAAATATGAGAACATTCTTGTGAGGTCTGAAAGCTCGAGAAAAGCAGCACGGGGCTCATGTTGTCGTTATGTGGTCTTAAAAACAGAAGAAAAACAAACAAACATTACAACGTCTCCACCAAGGAAAAAGCCAAGAATATCAGATAACCTTCTGTGGTACAACATCTACACGGCCACAGACAGGGTCACCAGCAATGTATTATCAAGGTACAGTGCAACATAAAAGGATAATGCAACTTAAACCATGCAAACACCAAACTGAGAGAGTGCAATGCCCTATCACATTATACCACACACTGACTCTTCCAAACTACAGAGATTCGCAATCCGGATTGTGTTTTCATAAACATCAAGGTGTTTTAGAAAGCAGAGATTATTTCAGTACAGTAGTAGAAATCCCATTAAGGGCAGGATTTGGCAGGTGGGACTCCAACCCCTCCATCAGCCCCATCTCCATCCACCCCTCTTT